CCCCCCCCCCCCCCCCCCCCCCAACAGTCAAGAGTTTGGCATATATGATCGCTGAGTTAAGTTTACGATTTTCCACATAATTATCGGAAATGGATGATTCAGGCAGACAAGTTTCATTGCCGAAATGTGGATTTTCAAATCAAATGATTAAACACATCTCAAAATTGCAATATTGTGACATAAAAACCTACTCGGACAACTTTTTTTTTTTTTTTTTTTTTTTGAAGTACAGGAAATTAAAAACGGGAACGTTTTATACATGTGTTGCATTTAATTATAACGTATTTGTCACGTTTTGTTCAAGCTTGTGAGATTAAAAGTGGTCAGAGCTGTTTGCAGTGGGGAAAACGATATTAACATTTGTTCCTACTCTGCCTGGCCCAAAAAAAGATCACACTAATATTTTGTTGGACCGCCTTTAGCTTTGATTACGGCATGCATTCGCTGTGGCATTGTTTCGATAGGCTTCTGCAATGTCACAAGATCTATTTCCATCCAGTGTTGAATTAATTTTTCACCAAGATCTTGTATTGACTAAGCACTGGGCATGATGGGTGTATCACCACCTGCCTCTCTTCTTACCCTGATGCGCCCATCACTCTGGAACAGGGTAAATCTGGACTCAGACCACATGACCTTCTTCCATTGCTCCAGAGTCCAATCTTTATGCTCCCTAGCAAATCAAAGCCATTTTCTCCAGTTAGCCTCACTGATTAGTGGTTTTCTTGAGGCTACACAGCTGTTCAGTGTATTTCTGAGTTAAAATAGTTTTAGTTGATGCTACAAGCACATATTAAATTGAAGGCCTGGAGTGGATGTTGCGCCTCCAACTCTTACCCGTACCCGGAGAAAACCCAAGCATGCACGGACAGAACATGCAAACCCAGAAAGATCCCCAGCTGGGATTTTTAACCAGCGACCTGCTCGCTGAGATGCGGCAGCTCTACCACCTGCTCCACCGTGCTGCCCCCAGCAAACATTAGCAACTGAAAATGTTCTGGATTAAACTTTTATTTGTCAATTTTTGAAGCTCAATCCAAAATCAGTGAATCCCTTTTTAATTAGAAAGTCCCATGTGAAATTATTTGATAGGTTGTTTGCCTTTTTTGTGGCATTATAGAAAGTTTAGGGTAATATTAAATAATGTATACTGGTTTTATTGATATCGCTTCATTTAAAAAAAATGGAACAAATTCTATAAATCAAAATGTAGTTCACATTTGGGGTTTTATTAAAGACTTGCTGGGTTGATTGTCTAATTATATGACTAGTAGTCGTATAAGTCACACATTGTTCATGTGACCTCTAATGTAATGGTATGAAAAAGACTTCAGCTCTGTCCCTTTAATAAAAAATACTACTCCATCTGCTCCTGTCCTGCCCCACCCTCCACCTCCTCAGTTTGCTCACCCACCCACTCAGCAGTGCTCCACTCATACTCTACCTTTCTCCATTTACTGCCTCTCTGAGCAGCATCTCAGCTGAAAGGAAGAACTGAAACCACAGCACTGAGTGCGACTCATAATCCATGCCATTTAGGACATATGCAGAAAAACGCCCACTTCCTCTGCTGCTCATCTGCACTGGAGAAAGGTAGAAAAGCTGTTACATGTTTTATCATTATTAATTCAAAATTTTACTGCATTAGATTGCTTGTTATTTTCTGCCACACCGTTCCAAACACCAAACTTTAAACATTTCTGTAAAAGCAATATTTTTGATTAACTGTTAGGTTTTGACATCTTTATGAAAAGCAGAATTTTATTAAAAATGTGGAGCTAAAAACTGCCCAAATAAAAAAAAATAGCTGTTGTTTGTCAAATTAATCTATTTTTAACGGCTAATGTTTGGTTTTCAGGCAGCTAGGAAGTTAATACCTTTGTCTTATCTTGTGATTACAACCTGCAGAGCACCCAAATGTCAAGTAAAAATAATTATGGGCTTATGGTAATAAATTAATGATCATCTGGTATCATAGTGGTGCAGCTGGGACAGGAGGTATTTGAAGAGGGTGACATTAACACACCAGGGTTGTTCTGCACTTCCTTGTTTTTTTATTTTATTTCTTTTTACCCTCTCCATACATAACTTGTGCAATTGACTTTAGGAAACAAATTATGTGCTTTATGCTTGTTGCACTCATGTTCTACAGAAGTGTATGGGATTCCCCTAGACTGAAACGGTCTTATTCTTTTACACATTTCCTCTTTAGCTTCTCCTTTTGGAAAATTCAAAATTAGGTTTTGATTTGTGAATGATAACCATCACCTATATGTTTTACAATAATTTAATGACATTGTGTATAAAGACCTCAGGTCTGCAGCCTGAGATAATCAAAATATTTTTTATCATAATAAGTGCGTGTCCATTAGGTGTCTGTGGCTTTAAAGTCCCTGAAGCAAAACTGACTTGGTGTCTTGCAGCTTTATCACTGAAACTGTGAAGACTCTTCTTGTTCCTCGTGGACGCACATTTTTGCCAAGATTGTAAAAGAACTCAAAAAAGACCAAGTTAAAGGCCTGTTAGGCTAAATGAAAATTCTCATTAAAGTAAATTCAAACTTTTGTCTAAATTGCACAGCAATGTAAAAAAAATAATAATAATTGAAAGGCAAAACTTATACCTAGTTTTTGATACCTTTAGTTTTTGAATTTGTGTGTAACATTTGGTCAAGATGCAAGGATTTAAATATTTCTTGTGGTAATTTTATATCATTGAAAGTTTCTGCTGGTACTTCAGAGTCAGAGATTCTTTATTGTCGTTCGCATCACATGTGGTACATGTGGTGGAACGAAATTATGTACACAGGGTCCCAGTTACATCCAACAATAAAATGTAAAAGAAAAACAATGATAACATCTAAGATATGAACTAAGAAAAATATCAACTAAAAATACACTAAGCACTAATAGCATAAAAACATTACGTCAAAGAGCAGCATGAACATGCTGCTGTTGGACATAATGTTTTTATGGCCATTCTTGGCCTATTTGAACACGTAAGCTTTGTAGAGACAGTTTTCCACTTCATCTTTGGGTTTGAAATATTTAAACAGGATTAATCAGTGGATAATATGAAAAGGTGGATAATTTATTTTTCTTTCTAACATTTTTAGCCTTTAAATAAGAAAAGATCAGAAGCACAACATAAAAAAACTGGAATTAAATCTCGGTGATGTTGCAAGGATGCATCCTTCTGGTAAGACAGTTTCACACTTATTCAAATACAAGCTCCAAACTATCAGTTTGTTTTTTGTGATGATGGATGTTACTGAGCTTTATTCTGCTGAAACACTCATGATCTTGACTCTGAATCTTAGTTTTGTGTCACTCTACATGTCTATGGTTCCTTCACTTAATTGGTACTAGCAGTGGACGATACAAACAACTGCATTGCATTTAAAAATGCATATGGCTCCTTTTATTAATGGAGCATGATTTATGAATTGCTGAAATCTTTTTGCTAAATCTTTGTTTTGTATGCCTCTTTTTCAGAAACTGTGTCTTTCATGCCTTTATACACTTTTTTTATTTGATTTGAGCTAAAACAACATTTCTTTATCAACTTTAAGCTTTTTCCATGTGTGCATCAACATCAACAACCTTCTATTTATCGAGGTATCATTATGAAACCTGATAACAAACTTAAAAAACAAGGGATGGACTATTGTACTTATTTTCTTTTAAATTATAGAATTTCTGATGTTGCATATGGTCTTACTATAAAGGCTAACAGCTTTATCAAGTTTCAGTTTTTCCCTATTTTAACACTCATAAAAGAATGTTGCGTTATTTCCTATTAAGAACAAGAGAAAGAGCTGTGTTAGTTAAAACATGTACGGTAGTTTCTCACGAGTGTTCGACTCAAAATGGACCATTTCTCTTGGACCAGGCTCCAGAACTGCCAGTCATCAGATAAAACTCTGAACCTGTCACCATCTATTTTCCTCATCGCAGAGAAACGGAGGAGGTGAAGGGGTCGGGAGCTCAGCAAGGCACGCATATTTCAAGTCACTTTGCACACTTGAAGAGGATTTTTTTTCTTCTTCAATAATCCATTATGCATAGCAGCTCTGGCTCTCCCTGGTATTTCTCCTACCTTCTTGACGTCAGTTGCCATTTGTGAGGGTTACTCTGGCAACGGCCAGCCTCCCTGGGAGATGTCTGGTGGATAAGACAGCCCAGATAAAGCCTTTTAAGGTTCTACTGTTGCAGCATCTTTTAATTGCCTTTGATACAGTGGAAGCATTACATGAAGCTTGTCACGGAATACCCCCTCATGGGGACAAAAATTGGAGACATGCAGATAAAAATGTGAATTGGAGAAGCTGCTTCAGATTGATGTCCCTTTATCTTTATTTGATTGGATCAGTAAAACTAAACTGGGTGTGATAGATCTATTTCTGAGCATGCTGCCCTTTGATTACACAAAAGAAACAACATGCTAACAATGTGGGATTGTAGGGGCAATTTAATATATTTAAACAAAATTCATCACTTTGACATGCATCAATAAAAGTCTTTAATAATGTAACATAATAAAAAAACATTACAAACATATTTAAGCAAACTACAGTATTACCATTTTTGAAAATTCATTGTGAATTCAGCTGATAATTCATTTAAATGTACTGGAGGGGTTTTTTTTTGCATTTATGCAAAAACATCAGCTGGATAAAGAACAACGACGGCAACGTGTTGACGGGAAAACACCGTAATATTCAAATCATGTGCATGTAAGTGTGCATGGCGCTCTGCTGTAAGTTGCATTTGCATCAATGAAAAATTGCCTCACACGGAGTTGTGCCACTTAATTCAATACCTGCTCCCATCTCCATGATGCTATTTATAGTCTCGCCGACGTATGTGCC